TTTTTATATAAAATTATTTATAATTCTTAAAATTTCTATGTTTATATTATAAAGTTTACTGTGTTTCGATAATTTAGTATTCTACTTTTTTTTTGTAAAAAGGATGGATCGGTATAAAGCCAGAAGAGAAATTTACTTGCAATGTTTCTTTTAAAAAAACTAGATAGTTGGACTTTCGAGTAAATTTTATAGATATTGCATAAGTACATTTAATTGTACGTGGTCATATCCATAATTTCCGAAATGGATGCTCAAGCAGTATCATTATATTAACAAGTCTTACGCGCTTTTGCCTTCTTTTTCTTTCACAAGAAAGCCATTACCCGTGTATCACATTTTCTCGAGCTAGTATGTGGGTTAGCTATCAGAGTGCAGTATTCTCTCAGGCATACAGGGGAGGAGGATAGTTTTCTCGGTCGCGGTCCTCAAAGTAGCAGACATTTTGAGCCGTGTTCCCCGTGGAATAACCATCTCTCTTCTACCTCATACTCTTTCTCTCTATCTTTCTCTATGAGTGGGGGGGGGGGGGGGGGGGGGGATAGATAGATAGAGAGAAAGAGAAGGGGAGAGAGCAGTTATTGAATTACGAACTCTTAGCTTTCCAGTTCTTGCAGAGTGCGCGCCTTGAGGGACGCGAGCACGCGCAAGTATGTTCTGGAAAAGCTCTTCTAGGGAAGAGGCAAATAAAAGGAATCACCCTTTTACCGGATCTCTCTCTTTGGGCAACCTATTCTACCCGTCCGTAAATGCGTACCGTATGTACAGGATGTACAGGATGTACATTGGCTGGTAAACGGAGCGCTGTCGAAAGTTTCGAATCAATGTCGATTTAACAAAGATATCGAGGGATATTGGATATCTCAAACCCGGAGTAACTCGTCATTAAATTAATTAAACCCAAAGTAACTCGGCGTTAAACTATAATTTCTACGTTTAAAATAAATTTTACTTTAACGACAAGTAATATGTAATTATTTCCTTTTGTCTCTCGCAAAAAGTGCTTGATTTCCGAATATTTTTAGCAATCTCTTTAAACAATATTTTTACAATCTATCTATCTGCGTTTTGTTATTTTTGTTGACGAAAATCGACGGCGAATTTCAAACTATCTATCTCCAGTTTTCGACAATTCTCGGACGCTCTGTATGTATATACGTATAGATGTGTCTATTCGCAATAGTATTCTCGATAGTGAAGATACGTCCCGTTTTAGATTTTACGGAAACACGCTGTATCAAGTTAAACGAAGCGTCGACAATGTTATTTGCATATATACGGCGAAAATACAAGCATATATACGAAAAAAAATACTAGGGGAGCGGCAAATATGGGAATCGAGTTCTTATTGGGAATTTTTGAAAAACCGTCCTCGCGAAAATGTGAGGTCCAAAAGATAATCGAGCTTTGTTTGTATATCTGACGGATACAAATCCAACTTTGAAAATCTCGTTAAAATAGGTTTTGTATTAATTTCTATTCATGCCTCGGGTGATTTAACGAGTTTTAAAATTTGATTTACTTTCGGAATGCACGATTTAATTATGTAAAATATACTGAATACATTTATTAGTTTTTTAAAAATATTTATGATATTATTCGATTTATATACTATTATATATTTTTAGAACGTATTATATGTTACGCTCTTAAAATAGGATCGCACCTTTCGATTGATATTTTAATGTGCTTTATATTTTAATGTGCTATATATTTTCTACATAATTAGAATTAGCAGCTTCGAGTAATATATGTGATGTCTGGTAATACCACATTATTCGAAAGCTGAGTGTGTTTTATGCAATTGCAAATCGCCCCGCGACGAGAATTCCAATGCGAATTGAGATTGATTATGCGACTTGCCTCTCGCACGTTCCGCGATTTCCATACATGTGAGTTAGAACGATGCATGCTCGTCATGAAAATGTTAATCAAGCCCTTTGTTAAGAGTCTTCATATGTGGCTTTACCTTCGGAACCGTATATCGCTCCCGTCGCCGCAAATATTTCTTTCACTTTATTTGCAAATTTATGTAATACCATTAAGAAAGAAGTATCAAACTCGGCAATTTCTATAATTTCCGCTGTAATCTACGATTGCTGAATTTTCCCAACGATCCCTTTCGACGTAGATCTAGATTTAAGATTCATTCATTTTAGAATTAATATTCCGATTATTATTGTTCCGATAATCGCACCGATTCTCTATAATATTTCATATCCGAATTGAGTACTCTCTGTCTCTCTCGACTAAGTAATTCCGGATTCTAGCCAATTTCGCGGCAAGAACTTAATCTAAATAAGATTCCATTACTCTGCTCGGCGTATCTAGATGTTTCTACTGCAGAACTTCATTCATCGTAATTTCCTATGCAAGATCGTTTATGATTAAAATATATATGAATTTATTAATATTTTTTTTATTTATACTTAAATTGTGAGCATCTCTCTAGTTTTATAATTTTGGATATATCTTTCTTTTCTACTTTCTTCTCCACTTACGCAATATAAAAATAATTTTCATTTTGAGGATTTTTGATTCTGTATTGTAAAGTGCACCTATAAACATATAGTTTTATATACGCATAATTGAATAATTTAATTACAAATTATTCCTCTAAACAATCTGTATTATCGCAACATTTAATATAAATTGATTCGCTGAACTCTGACCTTCGATTCTAATTAATTTGGCAATCTAACTAAGATCTAAGATAATCTAAAAACGAATTGTGTAAAATTGCAAAATTACTTGTCTAAACTTGTTTGCGACTTAATATCATCGAGTCCTATATGCATACCTATTTATATTTAATTAACAGTTAAATAAATTTAATAAAATATAAGTTAATTTTTTTATCAACATATTTTTAAAATATATATTTTACGCGTAGTTGTATAAAATAATATATTTTCCTGCAAATACTTCTGCTACATTATTTTTGTCGTATATAAAATTTGCAAGTCAATACTTGCACAAAGTTTGAGCATACCGTCAAGAGACATCACAGTGTGTTATAATAGAAAGATCATTAGCGAAAATAATCCCACTGCTGATGAACTATTAATTTCTTGCGTAGGGGTTGATCTCTTCGACGTGGGTTAACACGAGATAGATCTTGACGTAGGTGATGACCTTTATCATATCAGGCTGCCATTTGATGTTATATTCCTGGCTTAATTAATAAATTAGCATCAATATTACTTTATAATTAACTAAGAGAAATAATCAATTAAAATAGTTACAAAAATCTTTTTTAAGCTAACAATAAAATAAACTTTCTTATTGATATAAAGCATTTAGAAAAATGTTTGAATTTAATTAAACACTTGTTAATAACAAACCGGTTTCTGATTTTAAATATTTTTAGGAGATATTTAAAATAAAAATAATTATAAGTAATGTATTTTTCGAAGTATTCTTGTTTTCTAATTTTATCTCTTCTGATTATTTAATTCCTATACTTCAACAACCGCAACATTTGTTATACATTTTTCCGTACGAAATAGTGTAATCCGTTTTGATTTGCATAAATTGTATATTGTATATATGTTGTGTGCGTGTATGTATGGGTAAATTTCTTTTTTAAGATAAAACCTGCAGTATTCCATTACGTACATCAAGTAGCAAAATAATCGGGATTAAAATTATAAAAATGGACAAAAAGTTGAAGATTTTGAAAAACATTGAACAAAAATGAGACTGTTTAAACTTTTGTAATAAAAATTCATCCATTTTCTGCGAACACATAGTGATTTTTTTCCTGCGTACTCGGGTTGATACGAGAATATCGCTGCGGATATTTCACAAGACACTCTTCGGAAACGCCATGCTTCCACACAAAGAGTGATAGAGCTGGGAAGTGAGTAAGGCAGAAGGATGCAGAGAGTATGAGAGAATAACAGAGAAAGAGAGAAAGGGAGGAGAGGGAAGAGAAAGAAGAACAGAGAGAGTGAGAGTTTGAGAGAGAACAGACCCGGTTCGAGCCACCCCATGTCACCCACTTCTGCGACGATGAGAGAGGGTGCACAGTAGAAATGTCGATAAAACGTGTTGGCCAATGAGCGAGCCCGGTGTGACGTCACCGCCGCGGCATCGGCCAATCGGGTGGCGCCGGTGACGTCACCGGTAAGGGTGGAAACAACCCCGACCCGGGACGAGAAGCCGCAGGCTTTTCTCTTTCTGGCGGGGGCCAGAAAGAGGGGTCTGTCGGTTGGGTGGTAGGGTAGGGCGCGAGGGTGGAGATTGTTGGAGGTTACGGGGGTGGATGAGGGGCTAAAAGAGGGAGGAGTGCGGAAACGTGCGCCAGTGTGGATGCCGGGATGAGTCGCCGGTGGCGGCTCAGGCAAGCCCCAATATGGGTTTACTAATCCCGCGAAACAATGGAAATTGCCCGATGCAAAATGGCGATAGGTAAACCACCCTTGGTTGCCGGGGATAAACTTAGGATCCATTCAAGAGATAAAAGAAAAAAAAGAGACTATTTTTTGATCCAAGAGATTCGTGGCATTTTTTTGATCGCAAGACCATTGTTAACTCGCTTGTACTAAAGTCAATTTTTTAAGTATTTGCGTGCGATTGTATATCATTATATTAGTTTCTTGCTCGCTATTTTGTTGCAAAAAAATATATATAAAGCTTGCGGATTTTAATATCTCAATCTTTCAAGCTTTAAATCACGCGAAAATATATAAAATTAATATTTTTTAGCAAGAAAGAGAAGTAACTTTTGATGTTTTAGAATGAACTAAATTTATACTTTATAAAGCATGGAATCGAATCAAACATTGATATGTTTTCTCTCCGATTCAGAATGGATATACATGTATATTGGTAAAACGCTTCCAGAGAAATTGATATACATATATGTTCGAGTTGCTTCGAAGCGTTTCCAAATGAATAAATGCAATATAAAAAAACTACGTTGTGAAAAAATAAATCCATAACTCCAACGTACGTTTCATTAATTGTTTGTGTAATATAAAATTATATGTAATACAAAACTTGTCGAACTTTCTCTCTTTCTCTCATAAAAAATATATTATATATATTAATTTGATTTACACTAATTAAAGAAATAATTATAATAATACACACAGCTAGAATCTAATAATCGAAATACTAATAGTACACGCACACAGAGAAATTAAGTTGATTGTTGTGAGATAGTTGATTGTACTAATCGTTTAAATATTGTTAATGTACGGTTCCACCTATTCGCTTATGCAATTTTGTTTCTGCGTAGGTTTGGTTCCAGAACAGAAGAGCGAAATACCGGAAGCAGGAGAAGCAACTGCAGAAGGCTTTGACACCAATTCCCGCCTGCCAAGGTGCCATGATGAGGAATATCTATCCTGGTGCTAGCAGAGGTTATCAACCCTACCCCCATCCTCACAACAGCATAAATGGCATAAATCGTTATCCCCAGGTGAGGCTCCCTTACGACGCGCAGGACGCTTCCGAAATTTCATTATTATCGATACCCGCCGCTTTGCACGCTCACCAATACACTCAGCGCGAAGATACACTCTCAATAATGGCAAGTAAATAATATAAACAAATTATTAATAAACAAAATGATATAAACAAAAAAAGATAAACAAAAAAGATATGTTCTCCTAATATATATTATATATTTTACTCCCTTTTATCTTGCGCAGCTACTTCGAATTTTTATTAATTTAATGTACGAGAAAATAAAAAGATGAAAATTATTTAAATATGGAACAGTCGTGTTCGACTTGAGATTTGAGAAAATTGTTTTAAATATTTTTCACCAAAATATATCTGCTTTATTACGTGCGATTAGTCACGTTATACAAAAGCAGTGTGAAAATATTGCGATATAAATAGACGAATATTTTTATTTTAAAAGTAGGAGATCGCGATTTCAATGTCTTATCTGGAAAAAAAAATATATATTCATAAATTTTACCTAAGAATTTCGATACAACGATAGATTTGGCCGTTGTTGAAGATCCACATATTGCGAATGAATTCGATGCGTTTCTCGTTAATGATTTTAACCGAGGTATTAAATTGAAGTGCACCTGAGCGTGTATGTCCGGCGCATCGCTATCGGTCGATATAGCTAAATTGCATTTCGGCTGATTAGTTGGGTCGGCCGAATTACCGAATGCCTACCGTTTTAATTGAGCCGATAATTCGCGAGCGCGTCTATCGGTTTCTTTGAAAAAAAAGACATATTTTATTTAGGCAATCTTCAACTCGATTTTCTCTTTCTTTTTTTTATCTTTCTATTATCTATGTGTCTGTTGAATGTTTCATTGAATTTCTAAGAAAATAAATTATGAAGGGTTTTCTACATCAGTGGATATTTTTTTTTCAGGATTTTAAAAATATTTAATAATAATGTGTTCCCTCCCTTCCCAGCCACATGCGTACACATACACAAAATATTAAATTATGTTAAAAACAAGAATATGATGTTAAAAAACAAGAATATATATACATAATAAATAAATAATAATTATTTCATAATTAATAATTTTATATTTAATAATTACTATATAATAAAATTGATAAAAGCATCAAGATGGAAAATAGTATCAGAGAAAATACATTTTTTATCATTTTATAATATGCAAATTTCTTTATGTTCAGAGGATATAGTTTTTTTCTTTCTATCTTCATCAAATTGTATTTAATAATTGTGATATTACGTAGGATCACGTAACACGTTGGAAAATTGATTACGGTCAGGAAATAGACACCGCGACGCATTATTAATTTCCATCAGTTCCGAACGTATATTACGCGTTTAATTTTTATAATGAAACCATATATCCCCCTTGTCACATTCGATTCCGCGTTTGCCTTTCCCAGAATAGAGATGTAAGAGTGGCTTATAGCCGATAATTATGTTTTACACACGTTAATTACCGCATTACTTTCTTCCCGTTGTTTCAGTCTCTCCAACCGCGCATATATCTTCATAATTTCATTGATATCGCAGAATTCATTTTCGCTCATTTGTATTATCCGCGAAATCGCGCATCTATTTTTCAAACAGAATAGAACGATAAATTTTTAATGCGGCATTAATATTATTTAATTAGAAAGAATCCCAAGGAACGTGGTGAAATTGTGACTAAATCTTAACGTCTGATCGTTAGTTTCTCTCTCCAAAATCATGGATCAAGTTATTAACGTCATTGATCGTGACAAACTCTGTTTCAGATGGGCACGACGTCTTATCCGAGTATGACCCAGCCGTTCTCCATGTCGCATTCAGCGTCGAATATGTCGGCCGTCACCGGTATGCGACAAGATGCAATGGGTGAGTCATAAATAATGCAACGCCAGTGCTTTAAATGCGAGCATATGCGTAAAATGAGCGACATGAATGGTTTGCGCGTTGCGCTCTCATTTAGGTCAAGGATCATGCAAATATCTTTAATTCCAGAATTTGAAGATAACCGGCTTTACTTTTTTTGCGAGTAATCGATCGTATCAATGTTGCATTCGAATCTAAATCATTCTTAATAATGTCGATACTTGCAGTACTTTAAGTTCCTTAAACTAGAATACAAAAATATCATAAATGAAAGAATCTAATTTAAAACAAAATTGCATTTACAAATAATTTTGTGCTGTAAGTAATAGTTAATTTTGTAGGAAAAATGTAAGAAAAAATAAACTTATATGATAGCTAGATATTATTAAAAACGTCAGAATTAAATAAAATTGTACGAAGCCAATATATTATAAATTAATTATTATATGTTTCATCTGTAACGATTTTATAATAATTATTAAGTTTTTTGTTGAACGCACTGTTTTACGATGTTACATTTACCATTATCTTGCAATGAGCTTCATTGACCGTATACACATGTTTTTTATCTGACAATTGTCTTTCGATTATCGCACACATGTCAATTTTCCTTTCGCAAAATCTCGTGAACGCGGAACGAACAAACTAATTTCTTCGGCTTCGCTTTCTCGTCCAGCTTTTCGGCGACTTTCCGCACCGTTTTCGCGGATGCTGACCCGACGTTATCGAATGATTCCGCAAAAATCCGGAGCGGAAATGGTGCGAATCCGACGCCCGGGCACGAGAGAAGCTCTGCCCGTCAGCCTCCAAGACGCTCTCTCCATTTCCGTCCCCCAGCGCCGTCTTACACCATTTCCGGCGCGAGATGGAATATCGCTTTTAAATCGAATCAAGACTATTCGCGAATTGCCTGCCTGCCGAGGTTGCTCCGCGCGAGCGAGCGGGCGATTGCTCTACGCTCCGCTCCGCTTGCAATCTCGCCGCTTCTCCTTAACGATTTAACGCCTCTCTCCTTAACGTCTTAATGCGATAGCAAATTGACCGATTAGCAGACTCGATAAAGCTCCGCGGAAAGTCGTTAAATCGAATCACTCTTCGAGATTCTTTCGGGAGACAAAAGAAATCCGCTATTTTCCGCACCGAGTGACATTCGGCATCGTTTATTAGGAGAATAATATCATCCGTGTTGTATTAATTAAAATTATTGTTAATAATGTTTGCTTTTAATTGACTGTAACTATTTTATAACCAAAGCAAAAATTTAATATTGCGTGTCTTTTCTTCTTCATTACACGTAATATATATTTTGTCAATTTTAAATTTATCTATAAAATTAATCTTTTCTAAAAATATACATATATGGATAAAATTGTAATAGTTTTTGTGATTACTGTATAAAATGCAAAATAGTAAATATGTTCTATATTCTTGCAATGTAACTTTTATGTACTAGAAATTCGTTTTTATTACGATACTGATATATATATATAAATAGAAACATAATTTAGAAATAAAGACCACACACAGAGATTACTAAGCTAGGTACCCAATTTAGATTCTTGGCGATCGGGCTTTAAATTGCACGTGGTTCGTCTAAAAACGTGTTTTTCTTTCCAGGGATGTCAGCGGAGGACGAATGGTACAACAAGAGCATCTCCGCTCTGAGAATGAATACAGCCCACCACCCGAACCTGGCCGCACCCATGTTACAATATCAAACATAATTGTAAACGGAGGCGGGAGGGCGATTCAAGGATCTCGTCAAAAATCCGATATCGTATTTATGATCGAATCGATCGTGATGACGGGGGAAGAGAAACACGAGTGGATAGTGACGAGATCGCTAAAGCCCGATCGACGTTTCGCCGTTTCGCAAACGAAAAAGGCAAGAGATAAAAGCAGAAATACGGATGATGATCCATTTGCGTTACCGCTAATCGGCTCGCACGGCCGCATCGACATCCTGATTTCGCGACACACCCTCGCATTTCGCTTTGCAGCAAACGAGCTCGATTCGCATATATTGCGAATACACGCGCGTGAAAGCACTCATCGATTACGTTTCGAAAATCGTCACATATATTGTTCGGGCAAGCTAAATATTATTATTAAGCGTGATGTTGAATTTGATTAAGTACTATGATGAAATGGCTGCATTTATTTCGAGTATTTGAAATGTGAGTTTCAGAGCGTAAAAGTTGATTGCATTGTGCGAAAGAAATATTGTTGCAGAATTTCAATTGGCATACTTATTTATATTCTCGCCTATGACTGCTCGTGTGATTACCACGACATAGAATGTATTACGATCGACGCACAGATTGTTTCTAATATCGCGTATTTTTTTTTTAATCACGCGAATTTAGTACAGATCTTTTCTTGCAAAGATAAATCTTGAATTAAGATTCTATTAAAGTAAAACAAAATTTGTGAAATCAATTTTAAGAGTGGATTAGTGTAGAGAAAAATAATCTTTTTCCCCGTTTTATATATTAATTATTTAATATTTTTTATATATTAATTTTAATTAAACAAGATCGTAGCGAAACTTAATTCGAGATATTTATTGTTTTATTCAAGAATATTTTGTTGATGTTTCAATATTTTAAGCGAAAAATTTGATTGTAATTTACTCCAAATGTCCGTGTCATAAGCAAAAATACAAGAATAAAGAATTTTTTTAAAATTTTATTAAACTTAGTTTTGTAATTATTTATTAATTTGTTTAATTTTTTAAAAGCAAAAATGAAAAATTCTGCCGCGAGAATTGAATTGAAAGTTCAGTTAGATAGTGTGTCATATCTATATTTCGATTCTCGCAGTGCAGAAAAATTTTCTTTATTTTTTCTATAAAAAAGAAGAAGGTCAGTCTCTCTTTACAGTATTAAAAAAAAAAAAAAAAACGCGCGATATTTGAAATACCCCATACTTTGAATTCGCGGATAACGATAGTTCTGCGATTGGCGTGTAACATAGAACCGTTTTGTCGCGAGATCTGTATATTTTCTACGTATAGCGGTTGTCTATTTTCTAATTACTTTCATTAAAGAAAAACGCGTCACACGACGCGCAAATGCACACTTAACATACTTGCACGCGACAATTCGTTAATCTCTTAACAACGATACGTGCCACGCTTTCGTTAATTGACGGAAAAAAGGGGGAATAGGGGGCAAAGGACGAGATTGTACATAAGGGCGAAGATATAGATACATAGAGAGCGTGTAATCGGCAGATACTCTAGCATATGCGATTTTTCAATGTCCTTTTAAAAGTGTAAGCATACCCTTAGTGAATGATATTAGGCATTGATTTGTGTGCTTATGTTGACCACGATTTTGGATAACAAGGGGCGGGGGAGAGAGGGAGAGAAAGAGAGAAAGAGAGAGAGAGAGAGAAAGAGAGAGAGAGAGAGAGAGAGAGAGAGAGAGAGAGAGAGAGCGAGAGCGAGATGGGAGCGCGGTTGGACGGCGGTATCTGACAGTGCTTTTGCGTTTGAAATTTGAGGGGCGCCAGGGGGTTTTTCGTCGCGACCATCGTATTGCCGAAACTCATCCCTTCGCATAAATTAGATGTCGTTGCACACAAATCGACACAAGAACGTGGTTCACCACCCTTCCAAAAGTGACACAGGACGATGCGATTTTGCGTTTTGCATTACGTATAAAAGAAAACGTATGAAACGTAAAACACTAACTGTAAGTGTATATTCGATTTAGAAAATATTTCGCATGTGTGGGTCAAAGACAAAAGTTATAAGTGAGAGTGACATAAGAATAACTGATAACATTACTGAATTGCTCATATTTTTAAATTCGTGTCATTCTTAAAATGGGGATGTGATGTATATTAGCGTATCGCGAGCAATAGGATGTTCAGCATTAGTTTACAATATTGTTCGACGGAATTTATGCTGAGCGATTTATTCGTCGAGATACTATTGTATGGTACGCTTATATATTTATGTAAATTTGTGTGCAACAGTCTTTAAACTTATTTTACACTGAGAAAGTATCCGGTGCCGTAGAGCCAAATTTGTCAGAAACGACATATCGTAATGACGAATTTATAAGGCGAAGAAATTTATTCCTCTTCGTTTATCATAGCATCGATTGCAAATGTCAATCGTTATATGGTATATTAAGAGTACATTGTCGATATCGCGGTGATTCTTTTAACCCTGAATGAATAAAATATAAATTGAATTGCACTGTAAAGTGACTGATTATACTAAAATCAGTGTATAAACATTTGACAAACGCACAGGTCATAAAGTCACTGATTATCTGCTAGCCAGACAGAGTTAAAATGCGAAAGATGGGGTTGCACCTTATCTTACTCACATATCCAAGATTAAAATATGTAATTATTGCTAACGGATCATATTGTGTAACAATGTTGTGCTCGTAATATTCAATACGATTGCATCGACAGGCGAATAAAATCAGGCAAATAATTGCTTGATGTCGAGGAATAACTCACAGCCGTTGAGATGACTGTAACGAGAAATGAGATATTATTCGTAAGCATCGTAGCAGATATAAATAAAAATTGAATTGTCAATGAGACGGTTGTCAAACGAGCATTATTCACTCTGTTGCCGCAAGTCGGTTAATTATTACAATTGTTCATCGTCCGGATGCTTTCCCGCGTAAAAAAAGAAAATCGGAGCTTTCGCCGTTTTAACCGTTTATATTTCAAACTCTCCTATATCGACAAAATTTTAATATTTAGTTTAATTATATATATGTAATGAATATAAGAAAGTCTATGTATAAAGATTATGTGCGCTTTATATATAGTTTCTTAAAAACAAAGAACTATTTAAACATATTTTAGTCATTATTTTATTCAATTTTACGAAATATTATACTCAATTTTGTGAGATACTATAAGGGGTTTTGACGTGTAAAAATTCCATAAAATAAGAATAAATTTTTTTACTTCAATTTATCGCGAAAATTGTGTAAAACTCTCTGCAGAAGTTATTATGCAAATACAAACGAAATACAAACGATTGAAAGTATCCGGTGCCGTAGAGCCAAATTTGTCAGAAACGACATATCGTAATGACGAATTTATTAGGCAAAGAAATTTATTTCTCTTCGTTTATCATAGCATCGATTGCAAATGTCAATCGTTATATGGTATATTAAGAGTACATTGTCGATATCGCGGTGATTCTTTTAACCCTGAATGAATAAAATATAAATTGAATTGCACTGTAAAGTGACTGATTATACTAAAATCAGTGTATAAACATTTGACAAACGCACAGGTCATAAAGTCACTGATTATCTGCTAGCCAGACAGAGTTAAAATGCGAAAGATGGGGTTGCACCTTATCTTACTCACATATCCAAGATTAAAATATGTAATTATTGCTAACGGATCATATTGTGTAACAATGTTGTGCTCGTAATATTCAATACGATTGCATCGACAGGCGAATAAAATCAGGCAAATAATTGCTTGATGTCGAGGAATAACTCACAGCCGTTGAGATGACTGTAACGAGAAATGAGATATTATTCGTAAGCATCGTAGCAGATATAAATAAAAATTGAATTGTCAATGAGACGGTTGTCAAACGAGCATTATTCACTCTGTTGCCGCAAGTCGGTTAATTATTACAATTGTTCATCGTCCGGATGCTTTCCCGCGTAAAAAAAGAAAATCGGAGCTTTCGCCGTTTTAACCGTTTATATTTCAAACTCTCCTATATCGACAAAATTTTAATATTTAGTTTAATTATATATATGTAATGAATATAAGAAAGTCTATGTATAAAGATTATGTGCGCTTTATATATAGTTTCTTAAAAACAAAGAACTATTTAAACATATTTTAGTCATTATTTTATTCAATTTTACGAAATATTATACTCAATTTTGTGAGATACTATAAGGGGTTTTGACGTGTAAAAATTCCATAAAATAAGAATAAATTTTTTTACTTCAATTTATCGCGAAAATTGTGTAAAACTCTCTGCAGAAGTTATTATGCAAATACAAACGAAATACAAACGATTAACACGCGATTAACGTGCGACTTTCCCCTGGCGCCTTTCAGTAATATTCGGAATCTGTCCAGTCAACAATCGTCTATATTGGTGTCATTTTTCGATAACTGTTTAATCAATATATTGACTCGAGGATGAAGCTGCAGACGACTGCGGATTGTTTTCGTGTAGTTTCGCGCTGCGATCTTATTATTATCGTTCGCGGCATTCCACGAGAAATGTTCCTAAAAAATTTGTAACATATCTTACACGTACACGTTACACACTATACATTCATACATACATAGACATATATATATACACGCGTGTACACATATAAAGGTGAATACAAAGATATACGGCACGCGTTTGAACATGTGTAAGCTCGTGCATTCAAAATCACACACGAAATTACATTGTGTTGAGAGGACAAGTTAAAAATTAAGTGGAAATGCATACCGGACGAGCGTAACATAGTTTTAAGCAAGGGTCACGTATTGTACGTATGTGTTGTACATAGCCTAAATAAAAATTACATTTAAAATTATTCCCTTTTTCCTCCTGTCTTTATAATTCTCTCTTATACAAAGTATCAAAGATAAATTAGCAATATCTACGTCGGAATATAGATTTAAAAGTTAACATTAGAAAGACATTTTCAATATATATGTATATATTGAAAACATACATACATACATATATACATTACATAGGTACATACATATATATATATATA